AAATACTGTAACATCATATGTCAGTTTCTGTGAAGACCTATGTGTACTGACCAGGAACTTGCAAATATACAGTAACAACAAACCTTGGTTCACAGCTAAACTTAAGCAGCTACGTCATTCCAAAGAGGAAACCTACAGAAAAGGTGAAAAATGCTGTACAATCAGGCCAGAAATGTATTAACAAGGGAGATCAGAGCAGCGAAAAGAAGCTACTCTGAAAAGCTAAAGAATCAGTTCTCAACAAATGAACCAGCAAACATATGGAAAACTCTTAAAAATATCACCAGTTATGGCAAGCCTCTTTCCCAGGCTAAAGGAAATCAACAACTGGCAGATGACCTGAACATGTTTTACTGCAGGTTTGAAAGGAAACTACAGCCACCTATCTCCACAACCCCCATCTCAGACACATTAACAACAGCCAAACCTCCTACAACTGACCCCATCCCATTAAGTTCAAAACCCCTAGTGATCACAGAAAAGGAAGTGCGAGACCTAATTTCACAGACAAAAACCAGGAAAAGCTCCACGCCCAGACAAGATAACTCCTTCTTGCTTAAAAGTCTGTGCTGACCAATTGGCCCCCATCTTCACCCGTATCTTCAATAAATCGCTAGAGATGTGCTATGTTCCTTCTTGCTTCAAACGCTCTACTATCATCCCAGTGCCAAAGAAGCCCACCATCAAGGAACTGAACGACTACAGACCAGTTGCTCTAACATCTGTAGTTATGAAAACCTTTGAAAGGCTAGTGCTGTCTCACTTGAAAGCCATCACAGATCCACTGTTAGACCCCCTGCAATTTGCATACTGAGCAAATAGATCAACAGATGATATTGTTAATATGGCTCTGCACTACATCCTACAACATCTTGAATCTACAAAGACCTACACAAGGGTCCTCTTTGTAGACTTTAGTTCAGCATTAAACACCATCATTCCAGACATTCTTCTAACTAAACTAAACCAACTAGCGGTACCTGAACACACTTGTAAATGGATCATAAGCTTCCTAACAGACAGGAAGCAGCAGATGAAGCTAAGCAGAATCACATCAGATACCTGTACAATTAGCACAGCCCCACCCCCAAGGCTATGTGCTCTCTCCATTTCTCTTCTCTCTATACACCAACGACTGCATCTCAAAAGATCCCTCTGTTAAAGTACTGAAGTTTGCAGATGATGCAACAGTGATTGGTCTCATTCGAGACAATGATGAATCCACATACAGATGGGAGGTTGAACTACTAGCCTTGTGGTGCAACCGGAACAATCTGTAACTGAACACATTCAAAACCATAGAAATGGTGATGGACTTTAGGAGAAACCCTCCCATACTACCTGGGTTTCCCTGAAAATAAGACCCTGTCTTATATTTTTTTGAACTCTGAAATAAGCACTTGGCCTTATTTTCAGGGACGTCTTATTATTTTGGGGCAAGTGGAGCAAGATGGGGCTTCTCTTGCCATCTTACCTGATTTCCAGCTCTGCATTTAAATATTTTCAGGGAGGGCTTATTTTCAGGGGGAGGCTTATTTTAGCACATGCGCTCAAAAGCCCGATTGGGCTTATTATCAGGGGGTGTCTTATTTTCGGGGAAACAGGGTACAACTGCTTACAATACTAGACAACACAGGAGCAACAGTAGAGACCTTCAAATTTCTAGGTTCTACCATATCTCACGACCTAAAATGGACACCCAACATCAAAAATGTCATCAAAAAAGCACAACAAAGAATGTTCTTTCGGCACCAACTCAGAAAGCTCAAACTGCCAAAGAGCTGCTGATACAGTTCTACAGAGGAATTATTGAGTCTGTCATCTGCACCTCTATAACTGTCTGGTTTGGCTTTGCAACCCAACAAGACAGACACAGACTTCAGAGGATAATTAGAACTGCAGAAAAAACAATTACTACCAACCTGACTTCCATTGAGGACTTGTACACTGCACAAGTCAAAAAGAGGGCTGTGAAAATAATTACAGACCTCTCGCATTCTGGACATAAACTGTTTCAACTCCTACCCTCAAAATGACGCTATAGAGCACTGCACACCAGAACAACCTGACACAAGAACAGTTTTTTCCCCGAACGCCATCACTATGCTAAACAAATAATTCCCTCAACACTGTCAAACTAGTTACTAAGTTTGCATTACTATTAATCTTCTCATCGTTCCTATCACCCATCTCCTCCCACTTATGACTGTATGACTGTAACCTTGTTGCTGGTATCCTTAAGATTTATATTGACTGTTTCCCTATGACTATGATTAAGTGTTGTACCTTATAATTCTTGACAAATGTATCTTTTCTTTTATGTACTCCAAGAGTGTATGCACCAAGACAAATTCCTTGTGTGTCCAATCACGCTTGGCCAATAAAGAATTCTATTCTATTCTATTCTATTCTATTCTATTCTATTCTATTCTATTCTATTCTATTCTATTCTATTCTATTCTATTGTTTGGGGGAATGAAGGTGGACTAATCAGATATGTGCATACCGGTTTGGGAAGATGGGGGTCTAGCTATTGTTATCAGGAAATCCCTTGTGGCTTTCAGGGATCCTGCCCAACAGGTTCCCAATTGTGAGAACCTGTTCATCAAGTTGGGGTCTAGAGATCAGCTGGGGCTGTTGCTATTTTACCTACATCACTGCTATACTACAACTTCCTTGCCTGACTTCCTTGTAGAATGGAATCTGAGGTGGCTCAAGAGTTCAAAACTTCCATGACAATCATGTGCATCTCCCAGGTTATCTGGAGCCTGAATTCTGAGTTAGTGTACCTGTCAGAGAACTGGCAGTGTGATCTGAAATTGGGAGAAGTTATGCTGTCTCCTTTTCACGGTCAGATCACACCCTGATTTCCTAGGGATTTTCCAATGCCATGACCCACCACAGGGACTGGACACAGTAGATTGGTCTGCTACAACTGACTGATTGCTGAGCAGCTTCAAAGGGAGCTAGGGACTATCCATATTGGTCTGCTGCATGGAGAAAAGCATCTAAAGCAGGGGTGCCAAACTCACATCGTCACGGCAGTGTCACGGGATGTATCAAGACTTTTTTCCTTTTGCTAAACCAGGTGTAGGCGTGGCCAGCACGTGACGCATCCGTCCATGGGCCGGGAGTTTGACAGCCCTGATCTAAAGCATGTTCAATAAGGTGAGAGCCACTGTTAAAGCCTATACTGTGCCTTTAAGAGTGGTAAATTTTTGATATTTCTCCACTCTTATTGTATTTGCAGAATCCATTTCTTGTTATTGTAATGACTCATCACTACTATGCAAGCTGTGCTAACACTTTTCTGTGTAATTGCACACTTTCACTAAGAAATAAGGATCAACTATCAATTCAGCAATATCATTTCCACTACCTATATATGATCCCTTTGGGACTGAGGTTCCCAAGCAAAGATCATCAAACTCTGGCTGTTATAGAGGAAGGCCACTTCTTAAAGATGCAGGGAAAGCATTTTTATGCACTAATGGAAGGTGGACAAAAAGGCCTTATAAAATTAACCTGGAAGCATTCAAGTTGCCTCTATAAGGCTCAGACAGGAACAGATTTGCTGTTTGCTTATTTGTTTTATTAGATTTCTATGACTTAAGGTGGCATACATAGCAGTTTTCGCTGTAATAGCTCAGTGAAAAGAGGAATTGTTCTCTCTCTTTCTTCCCAACTTTCTTCATAAGGTTTTTAGTAGCTTCTTCTGCTGAAGGAAACTTGAATTTGCAATATCTTGTACTATATAAATCCATCATAATGCAGTGTTGTATTGTACATAATACTCCTGTATGTATTCATAAGGTCCATTTAATTTTTTCCACTCCTATAGTAGTTATTGTATTCCTATGAAGTCAGTTTTCTGATCTAATCAACCTCTTGGGCAACAAGTTGTTCCCTCAGAATGGGAAAATCTCAAGAGTTATTCAGCCTAAATTACTTTCTTCCAGTGATAAAAATCAAAGTAATGTCAATAGATAGACAATAAGATTAATATGGTAAATATATACATCTGTACCAGGGGTGAAATGCTCCCGGTTCGGACCAGCTCGGGCGAGTAAGTAGCGATGGCGGCGGGCAGTTCAGAGAACCAGTAGCAAAACTCCCTGCCCCCGCCCCCCGTGCCCAGCTGAGCCCCGCGATCATCAAAGCCTTTTTTTTCTTTTAAATGGCTCTGACCAGCCAATCTCTGACATCCCAGCTAAGTTGCCTGCTAATCAGGCAACTCAGCTTGGATCACCAGAGCCATGTAAAAGAAAAAAAGTTTCTTTTTTTCTCCCCCCCCCCACCCAGCCTCCAGCTTGCTTACCTTAGCTGCTGATCGCATGACGATCGCAATCCATGCATCAGCAAGCAACTGGATCTCCCTACCTGCAATCAAGCTAATCGGTGAGCAGCTCTATCTACAACTTTAAGACTTGTGGACTTCAACTCCCAGCAAAGCTTGCTGAGGAATTCTGGGAGTTGAAGTCCACAAGTCTTAAAGTTGCCAAGGTTGGAGACCCCTGTTCTATTGGGTAAGTTTTTTCCCCCTTTGGGAGCTTTAAAAAAATAGTTAATTGGGGTTTTTTTTAGTTGTTCTTTTTTTAGACTTAGACATTTAAAGTTTAGGAAGTTTTAAATTTAGCTGTTTATATAAAAATAAAAATAAAATAAAATGTTTGTGCAGCTTTCTGAGATTTAGTGTGTCACTCTAACTACACAAACACACAAAATCTCACAAAGCTGTATGTGGAATTTTGTGTGTGTGAAGTGTGAAAGTTGGTTTTTTGGGCTTTTTGTGGCTGTGTGAGGTTCCTGCTTATTGCAGGGGCCATTTTGGGTCTAACACAGCAGCTTGTACATTGTGGGTGAGTCAGTTGTGTTGTGGTGTTTTGTAGGTTAAAAAAGGGCAAAGAAGTGACATTGACTTGGCCACGCCCACCCAGTCACCTTACCACCAAGCCTCGCCTGTTATGGAATGATGAGACCAAACAACATTCCTGGTCAGCCAGAGACACTTTATTGCGCAGTTTCAGAATCAGATTTGTATCTGCAATTCTGAACCAAGAAGAGCTCTGATACAACTGCTTTTATACATATCCAAGACAAAGGATTTTGTGAGCACAGCAGTTTTCCATATATGGTTAACATACATTTGTTACATAATTGATACTTTCTAAATTATTAAATTCCTACATTATTTTCTAGTTCATAAGATTATCTTAGCTAAACAACCTTCCTCAGTTCTGTGATTGCTGATGCGTAGATTCATGGCTGCTTTGGATAATAAGTAACTTTTGTTTCATATGGATGTCCTTGCATCCTTGACAACTAGGCCCCTCAGAAGATATATATTACCAAGAATGGAATTTAGCCGACTTAGTGTAATCTCTAAACAAGCACATTTCTTTCTTATAATAATGTGAATAAAGAGGGTCCTTCAGTGTTCATATAGCTGACCCTGTACTATTCCTACATCATTCACATTATGCCCACTAATTAAGCCACGCCCACAGAACTGGTAGCAAAAAAATTTAATTTCACCCTTGATCTGTACACTCACAGGTTAGAATCAATACAGTAGAAAAAGCATTTTTATTATTTGAATTATTTAACATTCAGCTGGAATGAAGCATGTTGAATATTATTTTCTGGCCAAAATGACATCATAAACATTTCCTTTCTTAAACTGAATATCTTTAAAGCCAGCAGTTTGGAAGAGCATTCGATGTTCTGATTCTTTCCGTGCTTTTCCTTCAGATATAAGCAACATTATGATGCAGTAGAAATGACCAGGAAGCGACCCGGATATTTTGTCATCAATAATTGGTTCCATTGCTAAGACTCCACCACCTGTTGCAAAAATAATTTATTAAATCAGTAATATCTTACCTACAAATGAAGTAATGCCCTTGCATCACATTTTCATTTTTATGACTGTGACCTTTCTCCCAACACTTTCTCCCTCTTCTAAAAGTATTATTTTAGCAAATTGGCCTTTTTTTTGCCAATGCTAAGTCTATGGTCCATTTTAGTCTCCCGAGGGTCCTAAAAGATATAAAAATGTTATGCAAACCCTGGATCCTTCATTATTGTTTAATTCAAAACATATGCCACATTAGCCTATTTCCTACAGGATTGCTTCTCATGCTCTGCTTCTTCTACTTCTATTTCATGACTGAAGCATCATGGAAGTTCTAAGGAATCTTTCCTCAACCAGACTTTGCTTAAATTCAATGATAAGTGGCAGTCTCAACTGAAAGACCCAGGATTATGGTCATTGAGCAATGTGGTCACATGCTTTACAGGTAGTCCTTGATTTACAACCCAATTAGGCCCAAAATTCCTGATGTTAAGCAAGATAGTTGTTAAGTGAGTTTTGCTCCATTTTACAATTCTTTTTGTCACTGTTGTTAAATGAATCACTGCAGTTGTTAAGTTAGTAACACAGTTTTAAAGTGAATCTGGCTTCCCCGTTGACTTTGCTTGTCAGAAGGTTGCAAAAGGTGATTACATGACCCCAGAATACCCCAACCATCATAAATATGAAACCAATTGCCAAGCATCTGAATTTTGATCATGTGCCCATGGGGATGCTGCAACAGTTGTAAGTGTGAAAAACAGTCACAAGTCACATTTTTTTCAGTGCCGTTGCAATTTCAAACAGTCATTAAACAAATAGTTATAAGTCGAGGACTACCTGTATCACTTAATGACTGCAAAGACCTACAACCAAACTTCTGAGCCAAGTGAGATAGTGCTCACTTGTTAAAATTTGTTGCAAATACATAAAACAGCTATGGATCGCTCTGGTTGGCTTGCTTGTCTTCCCATTCACAAATGGCAATTTTTCTCTTTCTAGCAATGCCTACCTGGCTTACAGGCTGTAAATACTTTTGTTAGCAGCTGGATGCATTTTTCATCACTCCAGTTATACAAGACTCTTGATAAGATGTAAAGATCTGCTTCGGGAATTGGATCTTTAAAAAAATCCCCTGTAATAAAAATAAATTTATTTATTTATTTTTGCTAAATATTTTTATTTTTTCCAAACACAAACATAAAATATATCTTTCAAGAACGAAGTCTTAATCCGGTCATAGGTAGGTAATCTCGCTTACATTTTCATAAAAAAAATTTCACCATTACATCTTTTTTAAAAAAAAAGAAAAAAAAATTCCAAATAAAGACAAATGTTTATAACATAAATTCTAGCATCTTAACCATTCCATTCTTAACCATCTAAACCATTCTATTATATCAAAAATCAATCCGATTCTTTCCAAATTATTCTCCATTGCTTTTTTTAACAACAATATCAAAATACAAATTTTTAAAAATAATCTAACCTCTTCATCTAAATGTTTACCTTACTACTTTATCACCACCAATCTTAATTCCAAATATATACAACTTAATTTTTATTTCCATTTATTAATCAAAAGTCTTACTGTGCTTTTTAATATCTAGACCCATTCCATCCAATCTTCAAATCTTAAATTTTTACACAGAGATCTCAAAATTTTTCATTTCATTTTAGTTATTTTCCAACATTTTCTTTTTCACCCTTTATATATATCTCCAACTATTGTTTAGCTAATTTCCAAACATAGTTCAGTTTGGCTGATTTCCAGCATTTTATCCTCCGTAGCTCCACCTATTATTTGGCTGATTCCCAGCATATCTTGTTTTGGCTGAATTTCAGCATATTCTCCTCTATAACTCCAACTATTATTTGGCATCTCTTAATATGGTAGGAATTTGGAGAAACAATTTACTCTCCTGTTCATAAAGCTTGCTTTACAATGAAACTGGCTTTTTCTCAACTACTGCTTTGAAATGGCAGAGATGTTAATTCAAAGCACATATTACCTTCATGGAAAGAGATCTGGGATTCATCTGAAAACTCATTATATTTTTTTGATATTTCCACAACTCCAGGAAGATCAAAAAGTTTCACGGTACAATTTGGGTACACTGAAACTAATTCCTTAGCTAAGCCACCACTACTTCCTTGGGGAAAAAAACACAATGCAAAAAAGGAACTAGGTAAGAAAGATATCCTGTATATCAACAATTTACTAGTACATTTATTATGATTTTTAGCTTACCCGATTCTTTTATTTTTCAAATAGCTGTGCTAAACAGATGTACAATATTGTCATTTAAAGAAGTGTATTCATTAACATATATTTGTTTATTTATATATCAAACTTATTAAATGTGCATCTCCCTCACTGAGAGGCTCTGGGCAATATACAATTTAATCAATAAATAAAACAATCCTGTAATCCCTTTTATCTGGATGGAGTCAGGGCAACTGAATGGATCTGAGTGTTTATTGGCTGATGCCCTTCCTGATGCCTACATGGAGTTTGCAGCAGATATTTTCTCTTTGAGCCCTAGATAGAGAAACATATGTTGCTGCCTAGAATTGAACTCTCAACCTTTTGAGTGGGAGGCAAGCATCTTTATCTCTAGGCCACCACGTCACTCAATATAATAAAACATTAAAAATGAATAATTTAAGATTGAAAATGTAAAACAACATTATAAAATTCTAAGAGATGCAGAAATGGGGAGACAAAAAGTTAATTACAGGTGGGAGGTGGGGAATCTCATGAATTCTCTCCTATGGATATGTGGGACCTAATGTCCTCTACACATGCAAGTACAGCCAAATTTTGACACCATTACAGAAGGCCAGAAGATTGGGGGCTTTCCTAATTTCTGGGGGCAAGATGTTCTGCAAATCAGGAACAGCAGCAGAAAAGGCCCCTTCCTTGATCCTGCCAGTCAGAATTCTCTGACTGACAAGTTCTGTAGCACACATACAGCACAACAAAGGAGAGGTCCTTCTCTTCAAGCCCAGTGATTGGAAGTTGCCAGCTCAGATGCAGATAAAAGTCCCCAAGCTTGGAGGGGCGGGGAGGGTATGTATGTGTGCTCACACAGCATACTGAAGGAGAGGTCTTTCCCTCCAAAACCGGGGCATAATTGACCCGGTCTTAAATAATTAAATAATGGTGCATGCATCTTTGTATCTGGGTCTCTATGTCTATGGGTGTGTTCACCTCTCTCAAGCCAGGCCAAGCCAGGAAACCAGAGTGGAAGGCCCAGGCTCATAACAAGTTGTCCCCACGGCAAGCTGCCTAGGGCAAGTTATCCTGCAACCAATTGGCAGTAGCGAGTTATCTCATTCAAGCCTGGATAAACCCTTGCAGGGGTGGGGTGGGGATGGGGGTTTTGGTTGTTTGTTTGTTTTTGTTTTTATTTTGGCAAGGCTTCAGTACAGGTTTCCCATTGCCTGTTTCATTGGGCTGAGAAAAAATGACTGGCCCTAAGTCACCCAGCTGGACTAAAACTCCTGGTTTCCAAGTTTCTAGCCTGAATGTCTTAACCACCACATGAGCTGGCTCTTTTTTCATTCAATGCATCATGACACTATTATCCCAGGCATGGGATGGAAAAGGAAGGAGTGCTTTCATCTTCAAAAATGTGCCCATCTCTTTCCAAACAGTTTCAGTATTGTTGGTACTTACTGTGAGCCATTGACTAATTCTGATAAGCTAAAGTTTAAAATTGGGTATTTACAAATAAGGTTCAAAACTCTAAAACAAAGAATTCTACAAGCCTACATTTACAATCAGGGAATTACAGTCATGAAAGACTTTCAATCCAGTTTCTTCAAAATATCACATCATATCAAATTGATAGTAAGGGGCATGATGAAAACCTTCAGGTACTTACCACCCAGATCATAAATGAGATGAAATTCAGAAAGATCAAAGGCAGAAACCATTTCTTTTCCATACAGACTCCAAGCCTCACTCATGAAACTGAAAAAGCTTTCAACACCTTCCTTTGAACTAGAATTGAAATTTGCATTGGCAGATGATTAACAACTACATTAAATACCATATGATTAACATCTGATCATAAATCTAAAACTATATTTTTCATTATGTAGCCATGGTTTCTGCAGGCTTTTGTGCTAATTATCTAGTTTGAAAGAACAGATTATTTAATATGTGTCTTGAAGTTTGATGGCATTAGTAATCCATATGACCTAGATAAATTATTCTCATTTCCCTCCAAATTTGTACCCTGAGTAATTCCTGGCCAAAATTGTTGAATATGCCAATATTTGCCTCAGGATCACATGCCCTGAAAGGATCTCAAAAGTAGTTCAACATTCTTGTGGACTAGCACTTGAGCAACAGAAAATATATTACAAGCGTTTTGGAGAATCTCTGGGTAATGAATGAAAGCATCTTTGTTTCTGTACTGGACCATACTGCACATTCTAGCAATTGAGGTGTAGATGACCTAGTTCTACTTGTAAATTCCAGTTCTCCCTTTTGAAAATTAATTCTTGATCAGTGAGGCAGGTTGTAAGAATATCCCAATGCCCGAAAAGAAAGATTGAAGGCTAGAACAAAAAAATATCATAAGACATAAGGGCATGGGAAAGTTTGTATATTATTCATGCTTCACTAAGATCCAAACATAGCTACTTTTCATACTATTTCTTTACAGGGTATCAAACTTATGCAAAGACCAGGAAATAATGAAAAGATGAGTTGGGAAGTAGAAGATAACAAGAAACACACACGCAGATCAAAATTATGAAAACAATATTCAGCACATCTCTCCATACCTTCTTCTCCTTGCAAACCATCCAGTGGTGATAAATTGGCTGATGGACTGGTTTGCAACCTAGGCTCCAAATTTGTGATTGTAGTATGGATGGAATAGTGTGAGGATCATTAGAATAAAGCTGGGCTTTGGTTCTCTTGGTGGCAGATTGCTCAAAATCAATGTTGGTGGGTAATGTTGCTAGTCTAGGCTTATTTAGGAAAAAAAAAACTTCCATGAAAATGTTTGCAGAGTTGCAAATTGAGATTTGATAAGGAAAATAAAAGCAAAACAGCTATTTACTATCCAATCTGTACAAACCAAAGTCATAAAAATGCTACTTTACCTGTACTGAGGTCCATAAAATTCCTTTGAAGGAACACCATATATTGATAGAATCTGAGATTTCCCATTCCTGTAGTAGATTTTTTTTTGTTTTAATTGAAAACAACAAAAATACATTTAGCTATTATATTTTTCTACTTCCCCAGCATCAAAATAGTGCTTCTATTCAAATAGCATAATAATATTGCTTGCAAAAGTTACTCTAAAAATATCACAGGCTCTAAACAGTCCTGAAAACCTGGGAAGTGAGTGAATCTGACAGAAACTGAATCTTTATGTCCGTCTTGTTTCACTAAGTGGTTTTTTAAAATTATTAAATACGTAGTTATTAAATTCATTTAGCCAATCCTTTTGCAGGATTTTTTTCTTTGTCATTTTGATTATTAGACTTCTGATATTTGATGAACTGAGTTTTGCTTCAATCATCAAAGTGTCTTTCTAAATTAAAATGCTAAAACAATGTTTTTAATCAGATTAAAAATCTTAACCCTAATTTTTATAAATTTCTTTGTGTCTCTGCAGGCATGCATGCCTGTGGGTTGCAAAGGCATCTTTTCCAAAGACATTGAGCAACAATTAAATTTTGATTGTGAATAAATAACACCACTGGAAAATCCAAAAGAAAATGGGTGTGTGTAATCAGTTCACTATCATTGCATCTGCTAAAACTCCATGTCTTAAATTAAACAGACCTAGAGGTAATTACTTCTTCAAACTCAATTGAGAAAATGGGCAATAGAGAAAATCTATCGAGTGATGATGATTCTACAGTAATTTAGTGAATAAACATGTAAATGATACAGCAAACAAAACTCCCACATGGTAAGGACACTAATCCCTGTTACTTGCCGGAAAGGAAGCCTACCAGTCCTGATCCCTAATATTGTCTTTGAGAAAAAGTTTTACTTTACCGATACTCCCTTCTTACCTCACAGCTTCAGTCAAATATTGCATTGCTGGATATATAGTTTCTGAATAGAACTTCATGGAATAATACTGAGATTTTGAGCTTGATTTAGCAAGAAAGAGGTCCGCAAACTCTGTGTTTCCATAAAAACCTGAAAATGAAAGCATATATGAAAGCATAAGACAATTACTTCAAAACCCTTTGCATCAGTGGTAGGTTGCCCCCGGTTCACACCGGTTCTATAGAACCGGTAGTAAAACTGACGGGAGGCTCCATCCACCGACCCTGACGTCATCAGAATGCTTCTGTGCATGCACAGAAGAGCGTGCATGGTCCCGTTGTGAACCGGTAGTAAAGGTAAGTAGAACCCACCCCTGCTTTGCATCCATATAGCTCTGAAATGAGATGAGCAAAGCATAAGGTCCAATATACATGATTGCACTTCACTTCATTTCAGTCATGAAACCCAAAACATTTGATCTGGCACCCCAAAAAGAATTGCTGACAATCCTGAAGCAGCTATAACTGCTTCTTCCTGCTAACAGGATCACCTTTGCCCTCCTTCCATTCCACTTTCAGGACCTTTAACCCCACACAGGTCTCCAGCAGCATCTGCATCCCAGTGAGACTGGTCTTCAAGCGCTCAGCCACAGTGTCAGAGGGCAGCAGTTCCCCCGACTTCCTCAGCAAATCGAAGACACCCAGCTCACTTGCAGTAAATATGATCTGGAAAGACATGGGCAAATGTACAAAAAGGAGCGTTACTGCATCACTTTAAACGTGAGGACAGATTTGTACTTTTTCTAGAGCTTACTCAGAGCTCTCAAGACAACCATGAAAGCCATTGGTCAGTCACTTCCTCTCAACACAACTCACCTCACAGGACTGTTATGGGGAAAATACTAAATGGAAGTTTGATGGATATGTTTGCTACATTGAGTTATTTGTAAAAAATAATAAATGTGGGATAAATAAACAACTATTGCTCTAGGACCAAGCATGATTATCTTTGGCAACTATTCCTGCCCACTGCACCAGTGGTGAGTTGCTACCGGTTTGCCCCGGTTTGTGATGCAGAAGCATTACATGTGCGCTTGCGCGCGCGCACATCCATAACCAAACCAGTAGCGACAAAATTTAAACCCTAGTACTTTACTGCACCTGTTGCTGATGAGCAAGAGAAGAAATGGTCTGTACAGGGATCTGCTCCTTTGTTCAACAACATCCACACAGTCTGGAATGATTAAGTGCAGTAACACTCATGACAAATGGTAAGATTACTTCTCTCTTGAGTGCTTGAATTGTTTAACATTAATGGGAAAAAACAACTGGAAAGAGCCAAAGAAAGATTTCAATTGTTGGGAATTATGGGACCATGTCAGGTGATGAGATAAATCAATAGGAAAGCAAAATAAAGGAGACAGATTTTTTGTAATACATCTGCAATTCATCTTCTGAAGCTCACTCAAAGCTTGTAGCAAAAAACCTTGTGGCATTTATACAACTTATGTGGAAGTTTTCATTATAGCAAAGTGTTCAGCATTCAGTGATTTTCATGAAGACAAAAAAAGCTAGTTTGCAGTCGTGGTTAAGGTACCTGGCTATAAAATAGGAGAGCTGAGTTTCCATCCTACCTTAGGCCTGAAACCATCTCAGTGATCTTGGGCCAGTCATTCTCTCTCAGGTCAAGGAAGAAGGCAATTGCAAACTATTTCTAAACATGTTGCCCAAAAATTCCACAGACATGTGTCCAGGGAGTTATAAAGAGTCACACCACAAAAAGAAAGAAGTGAAAGAATTTTGCTTTGTAAGTTTTACTACCGTATTTTCCGGCGTATAAGACGACTTTTTAACACATGAAAATCTTCTCAAAAGTCGGGGGTCGTCTTATACGCCGGGTGTCGTTCTCCTGTAACCAGGCAGACCAGTCCAAAAGACTGACGAGCCTTAAATGGCTCTGGCGATCCAAGCTCTGACGATCCCAGCTGAGTTGCCTGCTAATCAGGCAACTCAGCTGGGATCGCCAGAGCCATGTAAAAGAAAAAAACTTTTCCCCCTCCAGCTTGCTTACCTTAGCTGCTAATCGCAACGCTTGCCTTGCTTCGCTTGCCTGAATCCATTCCATCAGCAAGCCACTCCCTGCCTGCAATCAAGCAGGCAGGAGTTGTGGACTTCAACTCCCAGAATTCCTCAGCCAGCAAAACAAAGCTGGCTGAGGAATTCTGGGAGTTGAAGTCTACAAGTCTTAAAGTTGCCAAGGTTGGAGACCCCTGTTCTATTGGGTGAGCTAGTTGATGTTTGATGATTTTTATTTGGTGTGCGTTGGAAGAGGGGTAGTCTTATATGGTGAGTATAGCCCAAACCCTATATTTTAACAGGAAAAGTCGGGGGTCGTCTTATACGCCCAGTCGTCTTATACGCTGGAAAATACGGTACTTAATATACTATTTGTAAGTATTACATGTCTTACCTTTGAGATTGTAAATGATTATAAATTTTCCCCTTTGGGAGCTTTAAAAAAAATAGTTAATTGGGGTTTTTTTTAGTTGTTCTTTTTTAGACCTAGCCATTTAAAGTTTAGGAAGTTTTAAATTTAGTTTTCATATAAAAAAAATAATAATAATATTTGTGCAGCTTTCTGAGATTTAGTGTGTTTCTGTAGTGTTTCACTCTAACTACACAAACACACAAAATCTCACAAAGCTGCATGTGGAATTTTGTGTATGTAAAGTGTGAAAGTTGTTTTTTTGGGGCTTTTTGTGGCTGTGTGAGGTTCCTGCTTGTTGCAGGGGCCATTTTGGGTCTAGCACAGCTGCTTTTACATTGTGGGTGAGCCAGTTGATGTTTTTTAATTTTTATTTGGTGTGCATTGGAAGAGGGGTAGTCTTATACGGTGAGTATAGCCCAAACCCTATATTTTAACAGGAAAAGTCGGGGGTCGTCTTATACGCCCAGTCGTCTTATACACCGGAAAATACGGTACTTAATATACTATTTGTAAGTATTACATGTCTTACCTTTGAGATTATAAATGAATGTTGATGATGAAAGAACATTTTAATATTTTCAGCTTCTTCAGGTGAACTCATTGTGACCCCAGGAAGTTGTACAGTAGTCCTTTCCATATTAAATCAAATGTCTCCAGGTCACAAGGCCAGTTGTTACCTTTCTCCTTCTCCTAGATGCCTAGACTGAAACGATAAGTGTAAAGGGACAAAGACGAAAAAGAGCTAATAAAATTATTAACCAGAAAGAAGCCAGGGTGAATGCTCTAATAATTATTATCATCTTCCAATTCTTATGTATTCTGTTTAAAAAAGTAAAGCCATGAGTTGACCTTGACTACTTCTGACTCTATAGACATTTATGTTGTCTTCCTAAACACAGTATTGTGCAATTACCACTGAAAACAATACTTTGCAAGTATTTAGACAGCATTGTGTTTCCTCTCTATTTTTCCAAAATCTGCTTCAGCTGTGTCCTTACTAGAAATGAAAAATCTGTTAAGAAGGAAAAGAAAGAACAGGGTAACTACTCAATTCCTTACCATTTATACTGCCTAGAATGTTTCATGTTCAAAAAACCTCTAAAATATATTTTATTAGCATAAATTACAAACTCTTCCACATGTACATCTGATCCTCTTTATATTAATATTTAGTTGTCCGCCATAGGACTTTTAAGTGGGATATCCACTCTCTCTTAGCTAAACTCACCTCAGAGGGATTTTGGGTGGAAAATAGAAGGAGGAAGATATAATATATATATTCACCACCTAGGACTACTTATAATGTAATAAAGGCAAGATAAAAATCTAGTAAACTAATAAAATCAAGGATGCCAGAGAATCAATTTGCTACAATAATGGAAGATCTGGCAAAGTAATCTTTCCATCATTTCCTTCATAAAACTCTGACAGTCATATATTTGTTTGTTCATATTGTTAGTTTTCTACTTCATCTCCCCTCAAAGCAGCAAAGATAGCCCAGCTTTCCCCACAAGAGCACCATCAACCTGAGTTCTCTTCCTCAGGTCTTTTTCATCTCTTCCAATCCCAGTCAGACACGGCCGTTTTCTTTTATTGTCCCGGTTTCTTCTTACCTGTCTTTGGATTCCAAAGAAGAATCACAAAAGTATCCTCTCGAGACAGTGCTTTTATAGTTTTCACAAATGTAGCAAACTACAGATAAAATATGCAAATTCCACATCTCCAGAAGAGGCTGGGGTGATAGGGTGTATTTTAAAATATTGTTAGAGTTGATTGCCTGAAGTTTGTTGGTTGATTCTTTAGTGATGTCTCTGCCTTGGTCAACACAAATATTTAGCTGTAATAAATGTTGATATGTAACACATTAAAAGCAGAACAGCAAACTCACATATCTGAACCCTGCATATCAAATGTTCACCCAGAATACTTTATCTTCTTACCTACAATCTTCTGGTCTTATCTTATCAATTACTTTCTGACCTTGTAGCCTTTTAAGTGGGAAAAGCAGCTAGATTTTCTGTTATCAGTAGGTGAAATATACCAGTCAATACCTCAAGACTGGTTTGTATCTGGATGTGGAGGAAGAGTCAGTCCAGTTCAATGCAAGCAAGACTGAGTGGCCTTGGATGTTTCACTCTCCTAGATTTATGATATTTATTTATTTATTTATTTATTTATTTATTTATTTATTTATTTATTTAGTATTAGATAATATATATAAGTATAAGCATGAATTGAATACATAAAATGAATACAATTAAAGGGAACATTAGGACAGGGATGGTAGGCACATTGGTGCTTTTATTGCATACCCCTTACAGACTTCTTAGGAAGGAAGTGAGGTCAACAGTAGCCAGTCTTGGGTTAAAATTTTGGGGAATCCTTATCATAGAATCCCTTGTCCCACAAGTTCCTGGTTCTGACAACTTGCTCATTACATTGGGCTCTAGGGATCGATTGGGATTGTTGCTATTGTACCTACCTATTTCCTACACTGCAACCTCCTTACCTGATCTCCTTTACTCTGGATTGGCAGTGGAATTCCTCCCACATCTTTCTCTGGGAATGCAGTCTGAGGTAGCTTAGGAGCTCAGGGCTTCCATTACAGCCATGAGTGTCTACCAGGTCATTAAGAGCTTGATTTCAGATTTAGTATTCTGTCAGAGCAGTGGTAATGTGATCTGAAAGTGAGAGCTTATGCTGTCCCCTTGTCATGGTCAAATCAAACCCTGATTTCCTAGAGATTCTCCATCATCATGACCCTCCCGGGGAAACTGAATCCAATAATTGGTCTGCTCCAGCAACTACTTGCTGAGCAGTTTCAGGGGATGCTGGGGACTATCCCTGTTGGTCTGCTGCATGGTCCATGCAAGGTCTTGGTGTTGCTTGGAACAAGGTGGCTGATGAAACCTTGGATCTCTCCTTTTTGTCACTCTCCGTGCTTTTCAGAAGAGTTGAGAGATCAAATAGGAGAAGAGACATTTAGAGTATTGCTGGTGTTCAGCAGGTATGAACTCTACTGAAAATCAGGTGAAAACCACTATTAAGAACTTGATTGTGGTTGTAACAGTAGCAAAGTGTCAGTACTTCTCCACCCTTACTGTATCTGCAGAATGCTATCCCACACTCCTATTTTGTGAGACATCAACCCTCTTCGGAAGGGAGGACTTGGAAAATTTCTTTCATGGGTATATTGAGGTATTTGTGTGGCATCTGTTGGATTATGCTGCAGAGGTGTCAGCAGTAATATGCGTTTCTCATTTCTCCCATGAGGCATCATTAGTACGCAAGCTGTCCTGACTGCTAGATGATTTCAAGGTACAATTCAAGATGCTGTTTCTGTGCTTAAACTTTTCTGTATAATCAGGAATGTTAATGCTGCCTGATGGCTTGGCTCTTGTTTTTTTCTTTAATTGCTGAATTCTTTTCATTTTTGTGATTATCATTATTTATCTCAAGGGTTGCACAATTACATACAACTCTTGGTACTTTTTAATGGATTAAAGTATCAAAATAGCATGAAATGTGGCTGCACAAAGAAATCTTGAGAATGTTATCTGGGAGGAGTTTGACCCTGTGGCTCCCGAGGATGTGGACAGGATTCTGGGACGGCTGAACGCAACCGCATGTTTATTGGACCCGTGTCCCTCCTGGTTGGTGCTGGCCTCCCGGGAGGTTACGCGAGGCTGGCTCCAGGGGATTATTAACACTTCTTTGAGTGAGGGTGTCTTGTCTTCTGCCTTGAAAGAGGCGGTGGTGAGGCCCCTCCTCAAGAAGCCTTCTCTGGATCCGGCTGTTTTGGCTAACTACTGTCCAGTCTCCAACCTTCGCTTTGTGGCAAAGGTTTATTTATTTTATTTATTAATTTAATTTCTATACCACCCTCCTCCTGAAGGACTCGGGGTGGTGTACAGCCAATTAAAACATAATATATATACATTGATTTAAAAACCAATTAAAAGTAATAAATAATTTTGGCTCAGAATTAAAACCTAATTAAAACACCCAATTTAAAATCATTCACAAAGATAGCCCAGCCTGGCGGAACAGTAGGGTTTTAAGAGCTCAGCGAAATACACGAAGATCAGAAATCTTACGTATTTCCAGGGGCAGTTTGTTCCAAAGGGCAGGAGCACCCACAGAGAAGGCCCTCCCCCTGGGTGTCACCAGCCGACATAACTTAGCCGATGGCACTCTGAGGAGCCCCTCTGTGTGGGAGCGAACTGGCCGGCGGGAGGCTACTGGCGGCAGAAGTCAGTCTCGGAAGTACCCAGGCCATAAGCCATGGAGCGCTTTAAAGGTGGTAACCAACACCTTGAATCGCACCCGGAAGACCACTGGGAGCCAGTGCAGCTTGCGCAGGAGAGATGTTATATGGGCGTAATGGGTCGCGTCCATAACTACCTGCGCGGCCACATTCTGCACCAGTTGGAGCCTCTGAGTGCTCTTCAAGGGGAGCCCCATGTAGAGAGCATTACAGTAGTCCAACCGGGAGGTGACAAGGGCATGAGTGACCATGCGCAAGGCGTCGCGATCCAGAAAGGGTCGCAACTGGCGGAGCAGGTGAACCTGATAAAAAGCCCCCCTGGCCACGGCCATCATATGCTCTTCTAAAGACAGCAGTGCATCCAGGAGGACACTCAGATTGTGAGCCCTCTCTGTGGAGGGCAGAGATTCACTCCCAATAGCCAGCAATGGCGCCAGCTGACTATATCGGGGCACTGGAAGCCACAGCCACTCAGTCTTGGAAGGGTTGAGTCGGAGCCTATTTCTCCCCATCCAGACCCGCACGGCCTCCAGGCAGTGGGACATCACATCAAGGGCATTGTTGGGGTGGTCTGGGGTGGAGATGTACAGCTGAGTGTCATCAGCGTACTGAGGGACTGTCACCCCAAAACCGCAGATGATCTCACCCAGCGGCTTCACATAAATGTTGAACAGAAGAGGCGAGAGGACCGATCCTTGCGGCAGCCCCCAATCGAGGCATCTCAAGGTCGACCTCTGCCCCCCTGTCAACACAAACTGCGAGCGGTTGGAGAGGAAGGAGGAGAACCACCGTAGCATGGTGCCTCCTATTTCCAACCCCCTCAACCGCTGCAGCATGATACCATGGTTGATGGTATCAAAAGCCGCTGAGAGATCTAATAGGACCAGGACAGAGGAGCAGCCCCTGTCCTGAGCGCTCCAGAGATCATCCACCAATGCGACCAATGCCGTTTCCGTGCTGTACCTCTGCCTGAAGCCCGACTGGTACTGGTCCAAATAAATAGCTTCATCCAGGTTCCAGGGAAGTTGTCGTGCCACAACACTCTCAACAACCTTCGCCACAAAGCAAGTATTTAGACAGTATTGTGTTTAGGGAGTGGGTCACCCTAAACAGAGCAGCTGGGCGATTCTCTGCAGATGTGATAAGAGCGGAAAAATAGTTAGATTTTGCTGCTTTTATCGCCACTAGGTAGGTCTTGATATACGCCCTCACCAGTGTCAGAATCGGATTGACTAGTCTTCCAAATGCTCTATAGGCGTCTTTTCCGACACGTGGCAGGGAGCCAGGTACGCAGTCAGCAAACCCATCTGTACCCCACGACCCCACTTCACAAATA